TTTTTTTTTTTTTGTCATTGTTAACAACACCATTAACAATATTTATGGAGCAGTTACTGTATACTATGGTCTCAAAAATCTTGCATAATTTATAATTGTAATTTATAGATGAGGAAATATATTCAAAAGAGATTAAATACGTATTTTGACCAGTAAGTACTCGGGCAAGATTTGAATTCCAGTCAAACTTGATTCTGAATTTGATGTTCTTTCAGACAAGACACTGGCATTGGGATTGAGTATGTGGAAATACAAAAGACAGAGTTTCAGTCCTTGAGGAGCTTATGGTCCACTGGGAATCATTTTTGATCCTTTTCTTTCCTCGTTCCCAATCCATTTGGAAGTCCAGTTAGTTACACCATCAAAACATATTTTGAATTAAATTATTTCTCATTATTGCCACTGCTATCCTCCTAATTCAAGCTTCAACCATTTCCCCCCCCCGGATTACTGACTGCAATAGCTTTCAGTGGGCCTCCTTGCTTCCATTCTTGTCCCACCACTTTTCTTTAGGTAGCAGCCAGAGTGATCTCTCAAAAATAGAAACTCAAAATCATTTGGGAAAAAAAAGGGGGTGGGGGGACCAGGTTTGCTAGTCTGATAGAGCCTGATGAACCACTGAGACTATGGTCCCTATCTGCCTTTCAGGTCTGGAATTGAACCCACACCTGTGGCTTCCAGCCAAACAAAAGACAGGCATATAAGTTGAACATACCCGAGGTAGATACACTCCTCGGAGAGAACAATCATGGGAGAAAGCGGGGCTGCTTATGCACAGGGAGACAGTTCAGGGGGCAGGAGTGCGTGAAGGGATAGACACAGTGAAGAGGTAACTATGGGGAGGAAGTGGGAGGGGAGCTGTTGCATTGGGGTAAATTGTAGTCATTGTCATGAGACAACGTGTGTATGAACTGCTGTATGGAAAGTGAATTTGCTCTGTAAACATTCACCCAAATCAAAATTTAAAAAATAATATATATGGGAGCTCTGGTAGTGTAGTGCCTAAGGCACTGGACAGCTAACCAGAAGTCTGGCACTTCAAACCCACCAGCCACTCCTCGGAAGGAAGATGGGGCAATCTACTTCTGTAGTGATACTGCCTCAGAAACCCAAGGA